ATTCTGAATGGAAGTCGAATGCGTGGGCGCATCCCTCATACGGGATTGATTAACACCCTAAGTCCCCATCTTTAGTCTTTATCTTAATAACAGCCAATGCGTAAGTCAGCAATTGTATCTATCCCTGCAGCGTCCGGGACCAAGAATGCGGTAAAAGGTTTTATTGGCCCGGGTGAGATTCGGTCCAAGAAAACTTGAATACGTAACATAATCCTTAAATGGCTAAATCCGCGCTGTGCGCATTACCCTCGCTTTCCAGTTCACAGCCAACATTTGCTCCTGTATCAATGCTGCCCCGGATGAGTATTTTGAGAAGAAGAAAACTGAGGTCTATTTTGCCAAGTCTGCACTGTTTTTTTCAACATAGCGGTTTGTACGAGCAGGATGAACATGAGGTTATGGTGGTTCCAATCGGCTGTGGAAGCGACCATGCTCAACGTTGAAGTGTAAAAGCGGCCCAGAGTTCCAAACTCCCTTGAGCCTCACGCACGCTATGTAATACTGTAGTGAGCAACAGGCCTTACTGTTAACCAACTTGGTCCCTCGAGACGCCAAACGAGCGCTAGAGCGGCTGCCGGTCTGGGAAAACGATGATCCGCTTTCACCCTTCAACAAGGAGGCTTTACTGAACTGTACGCTAGCCACAGGGATAAATGGAAGAATTACTGGTGAAAGTTAAAAAAACTGATTGGATGAGCGGCAGATACAGGAAGGACAGTTTTGATGTAAACCCTCAACATTCAAGGTAGTAACAAATTGCAGTTTTACGTTACTTTACATGGGATCTGCAAGATCGAGTGCTCATGTCGGTGGAGGTTCTCTAATGAACGAATATAATACTTAGATTGTTCAAACAATAAGTAGGAAACTGTTAGGAGGAATCTTTTAACATGAAACGAGTCTTTACCTTTCCATCGCCGAAGCCGCTATCAGCCGGATTTCCTGGGACGCAGTTTACAGTAGCGCCGATTTCTAACGTGTACATTCCTTCATTACATACGCATACTGTTCCGTTACAGTGTGAATCCAGGAGGCATTCTTGTCCATTCGCACAAAGGCCACCTTGAAAAAATGATAATTCGAAAAGGGTTCATAAACCTGATTAAAAGGAGCATAGAATACTGTAGCTCAATGTCAATGCAGACTGTTTCATTTTACAACCTCGTTTAAGTGATGTGTGTAAAGAATAACGGAACAGGATGTCCGAGGATACAGGCTCGGAATATAGGTGGGCTAAGTGGGCTAAATAATCTTATATCACTTCCCAGTGTGCGAACTAATGTAACAAAGCTCGTATTAATCTGAAGTCTGTCCTTCCACTGTGCTACCATGAGGATATCCATTTCTGTTACCTCTCAAGGAACGTGAGTACTTGAAAGAGTTTCGTAGACGTGAAGTAGCAGAACTATGAAGTCGCGCAATTCACTACCGACGCCTGAATATTATGGAGCGGTTTACTTCGCCTTCCTAAGGTTTAGGAAAACAGGGGTGTTGCGAAATAGTAGAGTTCACCATGTTGCACTACACATTTATTGAGCAGGAGAATCATGAACTATAGGGAGCTGCGTCATTCATGGGAATGGGTACTTCTCCCCGAATTCTCCAGGATCAAAGGTCAGATCTCATGATTGGTTCGGTGCAACCCTATTTTGTTTCTAAGTGTCATTGCAGGCTCACAAAACCGGCGTCCCACCGTTCCCTGCGCTCTAGCCCTTAGCGTTAGAGACGCAGAGCAAAGTGAAGCGGCCCCCACTGACTGCGTTTGTACCGAAGCGTGGAATCATGGGATAGCGGCTCAACCGGCCACAGGACAAATGAGTACAATAGATCAGGAATAGAAAAAAAGAGTGTCGAAAGTACGTATTCTAGAATGCTTTAGTGTAGTGCAAATATGAGAGAACAATATCTGCCCAAGCAGTCGCTACGCCTCGGCACGCGAAGAGTCGCGTACTGCTGACGCCTACTATGTACCAATGAGAAGGCTGCAGATAAAAAGATGATCTTTTCAGAGTAATAGCTAAGAAAACAGGGAATCGAGTAGTTCGTAATCTCATAAATTAAATTGAGTCACCTGGGAATGCTACCCGATCCTCGCTGAGAATACCGCTGCCACTGTCCATACCAGCTCTAGGCTTCGGGATTTCTTCACTGAATTACACAGCATTGAAAAGAGAAAGGAAACTTGGAAATCTTGCTTTTATCTGTGTACGAATAATAAAAAAATGAAGAAAAAACTTCATTTCAGACTTACGCGCTAAAGGGGGTGCCATCACCATCCCAGCCAAGTACGGTCTGATCAATTTCGTTGGTATTCCGCAACCAGTCAGCCAATGGTTCATAGTACTCCAGTAGTGGGGAAGCATCAAGTTGAGCTGTAGAAAAGAAACATATAATGAGTCATCCATCCACTACTCTGGCATGAAGGATTACTAACCAGATCCGGTAATCTGTTCCAACGCTTGTAACCATGTGATCGACGATCCCTTCTTCATAACTTCGCGAAGCTTCTCTGTGGTGACTTCCGAGAGAATACAACCTTCACTCTGAATTTGTTAACAAGTATGCACACGTTTCCGGTAATTGATATTTCTTCTATCTTATACATTCAACGCTTACCAACACAGTTCCAGTAGGGCATATTGACTTCAGAATTTGGAACTGCACTACGTAACTAATCAAAGTCTTGATGGCTGGCGAGTGAACCTGAAACGGTGGTTAGTCATGAAGCAGTTAAAGGAAGCCCATTACAGCATAGTATAAACAGGAGAGCAAATAGAAAGACCAGATTATATAGGAGGATCGAAGAAGTCTGTGCCGCTGTTTGTTACTAACGGAGAAGGACTTGTGACCACCCTCAATCGGGTCAGGACCACTCCTCCCTGAATGCGCGCACGGCAACTCGTCCACCGGTCGCCGGGAGTGTGCTAACATGGCGAAGAGACAAAATCGGAGGTACCTACCGCTCTATATACAAAATCTCGACAAAAAGGAATTTCAGAATGTACCTGAGAAATTGCAGTGTGCATGAGCGCATCCAAGTTGGATGAGTTGTAGGGTTCAGGCGCACTGATTCCTTCATATTTTGTTCTGAAAAACTGATTAATTACTGAAATACTCACAGTTAGAGAACAATGTGGAGAGAAACAGAGTCAAAGAAGTCTGTGTCTATATAAGGATGAATAGCACTGTCTACAGCTATTTAGGATGCCTCATAACAAACGTCCAGCTGCTTGACAGCCGTCAGAAAGCAGATTCACCGTTTAGTTCAGTTCTATAGGAACTGACCAACTGATGTAGAGCTGAAGATTTGGTTATTTCAATGGGACCCCCGATTTTGCATAATTGAGAATAGCCTTAGTGATGGCTACATCCCCATAACCAAGTAGAGGTGGTATACCGGGTCCAGCAGTATTTCTTGGAAAATAGTGCTAATATTTCCAGCATGTCCTATTATGTTTAAAGGCTATGTTTTCACGAGCTCCCCAAATTCGCATTCCAGTTTTGGGTGACACCACATCGCTAGTCATCAGCGCAACTCTCATGACTCGGCTTAATCAGCTTGCGCAAAGCCAAGATCCAGTTTCCATCATAAACAATGTTCGCCAAGGAAAGTTCTTTCCCGAGAAGTCATAATCTCAGATTCACAGATGTCTGTCTGCCATGTTCCTTCAGCGGTTCCGCATGTCGGTGACTCAGAAATTTCAATCGTACATCCATTCATTACGCCAAAGGGCCCATCACAGCCAAACTACGTAGTAAGCTTCACAGCTTTATCATAACGGTAGGGAAACAGTGGTAGAATTTGGGAAAAGATGAAAGAAGACTTATTTCAATATGAAGTGCGTGCAGTACCGTAAGCTGCGAGTAGCTTGAACGTTCGTGCACGTTCATAGAACGAACCACTACGAGACTTGCTGAAGCCCATCAAAAAAAAGCGATACAGCTTTAAATGTGCGGATTGTCCATGATTCCCTACGGTCTCGATGGCGTTCGAAAAAACGATGCAAAAATCTCTCTCAACACATTCATGCGCAAACTGTATCCCCCACCTACGATGAATTGCAAGAATAATCGCTCATCGTTCATTCAGGCGATATTTCTGAACGAGCTACCGACTTGTCCCTTGATGAAGGAATTTGATACTCTTTCAAAGATGTCGCGAAAACGACTCTCTTCGACGTCGTGGAGAAATGCGAAAGGGACTTATGGGTTGATTTGTGGGTGACAGCCGTTTCCCAATAACTAAGCTACGGGTAAGGCAGGTGGTATTGGCTTGTCATGGGAAAACCGAAATATATAAGTATGAAATGCGCTGAAATTCACTTCAATTCTATTTATCATCACATGGGGTTACACAAAATAACCTATTTCCTAGGCGGATTGCGTCTAACCGTCTGCAACAGATTAATTACTGTTGTTTATTGTTTACTGGAGAAGAATAGGACCTTATCGCCTAAGCTTCAGTTTTGGCATGAATTGAGGTTCTGCATATTGCTGTCATTTCATGTTTCGAATAAACCATCGTTATATTCTGCCACATTCAGTTCAACGACTACCACCCTTCACACAAAACTGAGAATTAAACCTATAAAATAAGCGACTTACCGAAGTTCCCACCATCGATCGTTAATCTTGGCAGGTGTAATTTTGCCTTCAAATTGCTCGAATCTCCAATTGTCAGCCACGATATCGAATGGCATTTTGACAAAGTTCTCGAGAGCCTCCCTGTGATTGACATATTTAATTTGGAACCAAATATGTAGCAACTGTGATGCCCAATTAATGGAGGATAAGAAAGAAAACATTTCATCTGCGTTGCACACCCACTCTGTAGCGCTTTACGGTCCACACTGCCCTTTGGACCTTGGAGTGACTCGAAAACTTACTTGTAAAGTTTGTTAACGATCAAAGAGTCCTTGATGTCCAGATGTGAAGCGGTGACTAGTTTCTGAATCAGAAATTGTTCATATAATCCGAATTAACACCGTTTCCTTTTTTTTACCAGTACCTGTGAGTACAGATAGTGGGGATTTGTCGATAAATGTGCAAAGACTCTGGCGATCGCGTCACTGATCGATGAAGATGCTGGTTCCCTGAAACAGGATTATGAAGTTTGAACGACTTAGTAATCAAATGAGTAAGAATTGACAGGAAACCGTTCTACTAAGCCGCTATTGTTGAAGATTACACTGTGTATAATTTCAGATATTCACATTACTACAGTAGGGACATTCGAACGACTTTAATTAGTTGAAAGGAATAGTTCTGTAGAAAGTCCTTCTATGCCTGGAATTTTCCTTATGTCGATTACCGTTCAATCTTACTCCAAAGGTGATAACCATTCGAGAGATTGTTTTCAAGCTGAGCATTCGACCTTCTTATTTAAGAGAATGAAAAGTGGCTATGGAGTACCTTCGTTAGCTTAGAGATCAGAAGTCCCTAGACGAGTCTTTCTGGGAACCTTCCATGCTGGTTTATGGGAACTCTTCCCCAGGTTGCTAATAGCCATAGTAAAACACACAACAGGGAAGCCAATTATGATTTTTTCTGTGAGAAGAACTTTTTTCAAAAATTTTTTTGAGGGCTATTATGACGTTTCGTGCTTGCGTTGCCTTTGTAGCGAGGCGTGCGCAGCATAATTGTTTCTGGTAGGCAGCATGTGGTTGACCAAACAAATCCAGAACCTTCTAGCAAGAAAAAAGTAGAAGGAGTTGTTTAACCTCCATTCCATTTAATTATGCATTTTAATACTTACTACATAGCCAGGATAAATTATATGGTCTAACTTAGTTGGTAAAACTTCCAAAGCACATCCCTCATGAATCTACAATCGAAGTACGATCTCGTTCGGGCTCTTCTCGTCACAACTAGGGAATACGTCTACTTCAGTTGTTAATCGCTTCAGAAAATTGATACTCAAAAATAAGGCTGGCGATGTGCAACTACCGTACTTTTACTCTCCGCCCACATGTGAGATGTGCTTTTAATTTAGGATGACACTTGTAACTTGCCGCAGTAAAAACCAGATTGTAAAATGACCAACAACTTACCGGCTACAGAGTACTAAAAATGCTTTGAAATGTATGAAAAATGTTACCCACCTGAACAAAAGTGGCTGTTGCCTGTAGAGATACTGATAGTACACTTGTGCCATGAGGGAATGAGCCAGTTCGAAATCTGGCATGCCTAACTGAGCGCATGATTTCACCCTGAATATTGCGACAATTAAAAAATCAATAAAGAATTTTGGATCGTAAAGTGGTGAATTCCGATATACCTGAAATCGCTACCGTCCCTCATGTCGAGAGCGGCTGGAGGATTACAAATCATGTCACGACTCCAGACTCGGGCAAAGTGCGAATTCGTCCAGAACGTCTTCGGCAGGGAAGGGAACCCTATCGATTTGAAGTAGCGGTAAGCCTAAACCGAGATTATCATGCTCAAAGAAACTAAATATTGCGCCGTTTATCTGCATGATTTCTCAGAAAAGGCATGTTGGTCATGAACAACTTGGAAAGCCGCCAATTTGAGCCACAAGATAAAAATTGATCGATAATTACGAAACGCATGGTGTTGAGTGGAATCCTTGATTACTGTACAAAAAGAAAGCAGCAATTTCAGAAGACGCTGGTGATTGAGACAACAAATATATTAGGTTCTACAAAAAATAATTAAATGATGGAGAGGATAGTGAACCGATCATCCCTTTTAGGATCCACGACACTTATTGCTGCAAGCCTATTTGTGCTACTTCATTTGAGTACAAGTAAACTCTCACAAGTAAAAAAAGGTATCACCTTAATAAACATTTGTTTTGTAGTATAGTTTTGGGTGTGGAATGCGAATAGCATNGCCAATTACTTCACAGTAACTTGTATTCAATTTATCGTTTGGATAATTCATTGCACATCTTCACAATTCGCACAAAAATAGCATCAGTGATTCAAAAGTGTTCTTACTTTTACTGTTGCGAAATAGCGCATGCGCGGAGAAAAATCAATAAACGTCCAATCACTACGTAACAAGGACGTTAGTATTGGAACAGATACTCACCGAATAAATGTGCTGGGATTGCTCCGTTCTTGCTGATACCAGGTGGATTTGAGTAAATGCCAGCAATCTGTCGTCGGACATAGGAATGTATCTGGATTTGACAAAGACTTTTGTACGGACGTTAAAGGTATGAAACCATAATTATTTTGCATTTTAGTCACTTCACTACCATACTACTTACTTGTTTATAAAGTGGCTCGATTTTTTTATAAATTTGCTCGATTTGATCTTTAATATCGACAACATGTGGAGTGTTCTTTCCGGACAAATCGAAAGCACTTCGCCACATTGCTCCTCCATCAGGGAAACCGTTTGCTTTAGCTCCTTGAAAAATGAACTCGGGATATAACTTATTACTCAATAAGGGTTCAAAAAACGAAAATAACCCCTTTCTGATAGAATAAAGCCTGAATTGTACTTCGACGAACCTTTGTTAGTCCATGCAATCAATTTCTGATAGGTAGGCTTTTCCTTCGCCAATTGTGTGAGGTACGAAATCCAAAGGTGAGAGAGTCGCTTGCCATCTTTCTCGGTTCGGAATATCGATTCAAGATCGATTCTCCTTCAAAGGTAAGAAGCTACTATCAAATACTATATCAAATTGAGCTTCCTCAGANTGAAAAATGAACCCGATGATATATTTTACCGGAACTACTCAATTACGGGGTTAAAAAACGAAAAATAACCCCTTTATGATAGAGTAAAGCCTGAATTATACTTTGACGAACCTTTGTTAGTCCATGCGATCAATTTCTGATAGGTAGGCTTTTCCTTCGCCAGTTGTGTAAGGTACGAAATCCAAAGATGAGAAAGCCGCTTGCCATCCTTCTCAGTTCGGAATATCGATTCAAGATCGATTCTCCTTCAAAGGTAAGAAGCTACTATCAAATACTATATCAAATTGAGCTTCCTCAGAAGACTTACTTCAAAGCACATGGAGGTGGCACATCGAGATCGCAGATGGTGACATCGGTTGCTTCACGGTTCAACTGGAATCACAACCTTTACATCTACCTCATCACAGGTTATCCGTTCTGTTATGATCGCTAAATGCAGTTGCAAGATTGAGCAATATATTGAAATGAGTAATAGGAGAAAACCTGTTTCTCCGGTTTATAACTAATATATGATAAAGTAATTCTAAGAACGAGGTGGAGGCACAGTCTGCAGGTGGCGTTGATAGTTTAATTGCCGCGGCAGGCAGGGTTGGCGTACTAGCGCTGACTGGCCACGGGCAATCGTGTCAGGACCCTTCACCATTCTATTTGAGTCCTATGTTTTGTGGTGGCTTTTTTTGAATGGAGGATAACAACAACGGTATAACAACAAGCTATAGGCCAAATCAAGCACTGAGAAATTCCGGAAGCAGGGGTTGTTTAATGTTAAAATGTTAATAGGGCTGTAAGTCAGCAAGGGATTCCAGGATATTCCAGGTTTGCTGAAACATGATCTCGAACATGATCTGTTGATGTCTTCACTAGGTGCACACCTTATGCGGACGTGTCGCATGCACGTCGTCTATTACGCCTTAAAATGTTCTTGAAACTGATTTGTGGCATCGGCGTCGACAAAGGACAGGTCTTTGTTCGATGGGACATTGTTCAAGACATGGCCATTCGTATTCGAATGTCCAAACGGTGGATCATTTAGGAGATTTGTTTGAGCAACGGACGGTCGTGGCTGGTATTTTATGAGACGTAAAGTCACGGATTACGTGATGGTTCATAAAGTCAGGTGAACAGGAGGAAGTCAGCCTACAACCTGTAGCCTCCCAGAACTGGCCATGGTTTTTGGACAAGTTATACTGAAGAAAACTTTCCACGTACAGTGTTTTGTGCTTGATTAAATGCTGTGTAATCGGCTGGCGATAAAGCCGACATTCCTTCGAAAGATACATAACTAAGTTGACGTTTCAGATCTGGATCGGTGACCGACTCCAAATCGAACTGCTTTGCCTGCATTGATGTCGACCGTACGAATCGCGATAGAACCTGATGTATGTCGAAGTTCAAACACATGTATTCTTTTTTCTTTATGACTGAACAATAGGGAACTAGGAACTACCTGTTCGGCTTCGTTCAAACTCTGCTTTGCTCCAGGCGATGCATGACTGAAGTACTTCCAACCGGCGGCAGCTACCTCTTTGAGTACCTTCAAAATACCAGTTTGAGTTACGGTAGCTTCCAACGGGTGAACTCATCCTAAGGCTCATTTTCTGTTTGACCTTCTCCGTTTTTCTATTTTCTTCATTCTTCATTAATCCCCCATTATCCCCCTTTACTTTACAGTTTACTCCTACTGCATCTGAAGTTCATACAGTAACAGGAGAAAAAATAAAATAGTATTAGTAGAATATTACAATAGTGTTGATTACTTAGACTTGCTTGCTATTCATTTTACCGAAGGAAATCAATGAATATAAGTGAGAAAACAAAATGAAACTAAAAATGAATAGTTGATGCCAAGGAATTTCATAGAACTTATCTAAACAATAACAGTAACCAGTAATGCATCTGTAAACAAAATATGACCCGATTATCGCGATATTAAAATTTACTGCGGTATTTTTTTGAGTATAACATTAGACTTTGAAACGTGAAATCAGATGTCGGAATTTTAATTCACAGAAGCCAGAAAGCGAACATATGAAGACCTACGGCCAAATGGAGACCTGGATTTAAATGAAATTCCAATCCGAGCTGCTTACCTTTTGAGCTTCAGTTTGATATCCTTGAATCCATTCTCTGAGAGCTGCTTCGTCCTTGATTGAGCCTGGCTCCTGAAAGCGCGTACTTGTTGTTTTAAAACAGGAAAGCATTTTCTGAATAGAATGGGATATGTAAGTAGCACCTTAAGACCCTCTGTATTCCAATAGCTGCTGCTACCAACAAGTGCTTGAGCAGCAGGATTAGCAGATTTCGGAGCATTTTTGTCCTGGAATAGTGAGACTTCATCACACTGAATTAATGAGATTCAAAAGTTTGAACCGAACCGTGAGTGAACCAGTGTTGAGGAATCTGTCGACCAGTTGTTCAATCACCTCAGTGTCGAGTTCATCCGGCTGGTTTTTCTGTAAAGACGATATGAATGAGGTCATCCAGCTTGGATGGGCTACTGCCGACTCACCAGTTCTACAACTTCTCCGTAATCTTCTGATTGAATGTTGTCAAATTTGATCGCTGGCTCAGGTTCAGGCACAGGGCCTGTGACTCGTGAGCTCGGTTCTGGCTCAGGCTCCGGCTCTGGCTCTGGATGAGGATGAGGCTCAGGTTCTGGTTCCGGATGAGGATGAGGATGGTCCGTTTGATGTTTAGCGGTTGTCGCTGTTGGTTCAGGCTCTGGTTGAGGTTCAGGAGTAGGCTCAGCTATTGGTGCTGGTTCAGGCTCTGGATGTGGAACAGGCGCAATGGCGGCGGTAATGTTTGTTTCAGCATCCATGGTGTCCATGAACTCAAATGGTTCTTTGGATGTTTCGCTGACATGTTCGTGCCGATCATGAGTTTGGGCTGCTAGACCAATTGGTATCGAACAAGTCAAGATCCATAACCCAAGAAAAATGCGGCTGATTGGTAACCGCATCTCCTGAAAACGGTAGTAATGAACTGAAAACCTCGAATCTGAAATGGGATCGGTACACTAGAAAAAGCGAAAATTCGGCTTGCAGTGAACCGGTCTCGATCGAATTAGGGATAATTAGAGGCGGCCTGACGAGAAACTGGATTTGCTGGCTACTATCGAACTGACCAGACAGCTGAGAAATCGGAGTAAGACGTTTTTGTTAACAAAGTCAAGGGGTGATCCTGATGCGCCGCCTTACGAGAAACTCTCAATCACGAATATCCTTTGGAAGAACATCAAAGCCTTCAATCGCTGAGACCCAATTTACAGTTTTCCTATCTAGTTGGGACAAGTTGGTAAAATTCAAGAATACTATCAAATCTTTCATGTGGGAATTCATCAGCTCTGAAGGTTTCTGTCCAACAAAATTCAGAAAAGAAATTCAGAGAATCTGGGCTGCACGAACCTGGGTATCACTTACTGACCGTAACTACCGTAGCCAAGAAAATTTAGCGTAAGTACTTTGTTACTTGCTACTAATAAAGCGGTGGCATTCAAAGCACTTCCGCAAAAGCTCCTTGGTGATCTCGAAAGCAATTCCGAAAAATAAAACTATGCAAGAGCAAAGTTGGTGATTTTGAAACCGTTGTACAGCGGTACTAAACTATTGAAATACTAGTCATGTGCACAGAAATCGATTATTGATCGTTCGTAGAGGGGTTAGAGGAACAGTTCTAAATAAACAAAATTTATACAAGTTTTATAATGTGATATGTTGATATGTGATGCGATCCAAGATTCTCAGAATGATCAGATGATCTTAGTAGGTTTGAATCTAGGAAGGAAACAATCACAAAAGGCTTTCTACAGCGATTCGTTGACAACATATCAATGGGCCCATTCTGTCGCCATCGTGGACTGAATGTCAGAAGAGAGTGAAAAGGGATGGACAAAAGTTTTAGGTTGGTCATTGCGCAAAAAGAGAGGGTGTTAAATCTGTAGGAGTGGAAGGTCGTATCCTATCATGTCATCGTGATATCGGATGCGGGGAAATCTACCGCCGACAACATAACGGGGTCCTAACATGAAGACAGTATCCAATATCGTGTGCCAGACCATATAAAGCACCTTACCGACGGCGGTTGCGCACGTTAACGACGCTGTCTCCATGGGTAGGGTAAGGTTGTTAGAAAGGGGCTATTTCAGCCGATTGGGTGAATGACGCGGGATGGGAAGAAGGCAGGGCTTTGCGTCGAAACATGGATAGCCGCCAATTGAAAGAAGAGGACACGTCTTGGATGTGGCTAGGCTAAGAACACGTTCACTATGTTCGCGGCCTGTGGAGGAGGCGGTGTGGTGGTGGTGGTGGTAGCTGACGGATCAGCGCACCCCGATCTATTCAGTGACGATGATTCAGTCGGAGAAGGGGAGGGAGGAAAGAAGAGAGAAACAGAACCCGAATTCATTTCGAGAAATGTACGTTTAGTCGAATGATCCCGTATTTCCGGATTGTAAACGTACACAATACCATCGATACCTCATCCGTATCGGGTACATTGAAACAGGTGTTTTTCAACGATGACGCCGAACTGCGTACAGGCTATGATGATTGTAGGGTTCTTTATATTGCCCTTTTATGGCGGATATCCAAAGCGGGCATGCGAAGAGGGGAAATCAGAGAAGTAGCAATTACCATCGACAAAAAGAGGTTAAGAGAGATAGTAATGGCGGAGGGGATTCGAGAGTATACAGATTTAACAAGAAAAACAAGGCATACAGGTTTAAAAAAAATTTGAAACAGTAGACCGATACAGTACGTTCCAAGATTGAACAAAAATCATTTTGATACTGGGAAGGCTTTTATGAGAATAACAGTGAACTTAGAAGAGAAAGATAAGCGGAAGGAAGTAATGAGTGGTGAAGAATTTGGCTCTTTTCATTAGAGTAGTGAGAAATTCTCTAAACTCTTGTCCAGATGTTCTACTTTATCAACTGCTACTTGTTTTTACAAAGCTTGATCTTAATTTCTGTACAGTTTCATAATCCGACATACAACCTATACTTTACTTCTAGTTCATTTTTCTACCAAAATTCTGGTTAGAATTCGATCAAAGTTCTAATACAATGAAAAAGAATGACATTCAAATTACAAAATAAATCGACTGGCATTCCAACAAAGTCGCAAACAATGTACTTTTTCGGGTTTAAAAGTAAAAGTAGCAGGGTAACAAAAACAGGAAGGAGTGTTTCAATTACAAGTATGGTAAGACACGTAACTAGTTATGCGACCTTCCCCGTGCTGTTCCACATTTCGTATACAATCTGATCTGTTCCGTTTTAGTTAATCGGTGGAAGTTCTTTGAAGAAAATTAACAGTCACTGCAAAGGCAGCACATAGTTTGTAGAGGGCGTTACTGGCCCACCCGGAAACTACCGTAACCCTTTGAAATACTCATTTTTCAGTGAAATCGAGTTGTTGAAAGTAGATGTTGAATAAAAGATGGGACAAAGAGGCTCAATGCATATAACAACTAGTATATAATTCTAAGTTACATTTTCTTTGTGGAACAGTATTTTTTCCTAATAGGGTTCTCCTTGAGATGTGTAAGGGTAAAAATGTGCGATGGTCATAGAAACGTTGTGTGTGACTTGAAATTTTTGCCTTTGAATCGGAAGGATTGGTACTTTCGATAGAGGTCATTCCATTGTGTACGCATCAAGTCGCGATTAAAGGGATCGCGTCGGCACGTCAACTACACTCAATATCTCACGCTTACCTCAACACACCTGGGTACGATCAAATAAAAATATCTCTTCAAAAAGCTATCTTATTTACAAAACGTCCACTTCTGTACGACAAAGGGTCGGGCCGATTCAAAGTCCCTAGGGCACGGAAAGAAACAGTGGGAAGTTAGACCGAGATTTCTTAGCAGATTGAGGGTGCAGGTGGATATGAGCCAGCTTCACGTTTGTCTGGCACCCACTCCTACGGCTTTAGAGGAAATCCAAAAAGATGAGCTTTCATTTTGCTGAGTTTATACTTATTGTACGATCAACATATACGATCCGACAAGACTTCATGTCACTCTACCTTAATTGCGAAGGAAAAAAGCAATATTAGTGGAGACCAGGTGTCACAGGGATTACATAACGAATTGAGGCTAGAGATGGATTGAAACAGAGCTTCATAGCGTGACAACCAAGACGTGGATCACATGAAAGTTTCCGATGAAGTTTTTTGGAAATGTTGAAAACTAGAGTAGCAGGTCAAGTAGGTCCAGAAGGAACTTCGGGACTTTCACTGCCAAATGAACCAGAAGACCAAGATTGATTTCGTCCTTTTTGTAAGGATCGAGGGAAAAAGTGAAAGGATGCGGAAGGATACTATAAGGACGAAATCGGCGGGTGATCGGTCGAAAGGCGGAGACTGTTGGCCGGACATCGAGTGATAAGGGCGCGACGGCCACGGCCTAGATTGAAAGAAATCCACGCCAATTGTAGGTCATATCCATAGACGACATGTTTAAAACTTCGAATACAAATTATCACTGATCGTCGTAGGACCGATAATAGATCACGGATAATTAGGGCTCACGTGTGTAGTATAGGAGGTCTGGGGGAGCTTAGGGTCAGCGCAGACAGCTGGCACCTTTCAATGGCTGGACGCTATTAATTCCTAATATTTGGCAGGAATTAGTTTTTTTTGGCTCTTTTGAGAGCTTACCAACCTAATTATCGAAAAATTTTGGGAATTGAAGAACGGAAGCAGCAGGGGGCAAAATAATTAATTCTCAAGGGTTATCTAGGCTTCGATTACCGGCTACCGTCTTGCTGTTATTGACACATTCTGAACCTTTCATAATTTACGTTCTGAGCCTTGAATCTCTAAAAAGTCTTACAAGACAGCACATTGTGGTTGAAGCTGAAGCGATCCATTGGAATCCGAACATAAAAGGCGAGCCTAGTAAAGGGGGGGGGGGGGGGGGNGGTACCACCTGATGAGGAACTGTAGCTCACTTCCACTGAAGATCGGAGTGGTAGTTATGCTCATAACTTCTCGGAAGTTTCGTATAGTTCTCATCATAAAATGCTGGTATACAGTGTAAAGACATTTCTAGCCTGAATCTCAAATACTGTGGGGACCGCTCGATAGTCGGTTGCTCTGAGCTCTCGATCTACGAATCCTATTTGTGTTCAATGGGGTGTGATATAGTGCCGGGAAAACTGAAAATGTACGAGATTGAAGCTACGTACGTTTAATAGATACGTCTCGTACAATTGCCTGGAAGAACTTGATTGGAACCAGATCCGGATAAAGCAGCGTCACGTCATTCGGTTCCTGTATATTCAATTGTTTCCCTTGTTCCCCCGGTAAAGGGATTAGCTAGCCAACATGGCAATACTGCTAACTAAGAAACCAGTAGATGGACCACATCAATTTCCCAGGCTAGGAATTTCAGTAAGGCTGATTACCAATTGAGATATCAGCAAAGGAGCTGAACCTATCCCAGAAGCTAATGACGTTTTTCAGTGTAAACAGTAAAGTGTTTGCTTTTATCAGAAAGTTTCCTCGAAATCAATGTCTTCGAAATTGCTCTGAAACACCGAGTTTTTGAAACTTTTTCTACTTACTCTCATTGGTGTGCCTTCAGCATTCAAACTTTCAATTGGACNATGAAATTCCAATGTTTGCATATAGTCAGTGGCAATGTCTAGTAGGATAAAAATGTTGACTCGAATATCGGTTGACCAACCCAAGGCATTTTTTGGGATCGTAAGCATTGAAGATGCCGCACGTTTCTGAATGGATGCCGAATGCAGGGCGCATCCCGAAACGGGTCTGATCAACCCCCAAAGACTTCATCATATTTCGACCACAAACCTTAAAAACACCGAAAATAGGAAGGCAAAACGCATTTTTAGAAGCTTCAATGGAATTAGGGAGGGAGCAGCGGCATAGGTAAATCGTTCATTAACCTGAAAGCAACCTCCTCTAATTGATTGTGAGAAGAATCTTACTT